GTTTACATCACGAGATCAATGAACTCACGTGACTCGTAGTAAATAGTAAACGTGACGTCACTCATTCGCTCGGTCAGTGGGTCAACGTGCGACAAGGAGGTCCGACGCGTTAGACGGAGACAGAGATAGTCAAATTAAGAAAAATTACCTTTTACATAAATTGCGATATCTCGAAAACGGAAAGTCCGATCGACAAAATCCAAAAGCCATTTTAAAGAGGAAGCTTTGCCGCCGCTAACAATGGCTTAATAATTAATAAAACACTAGTAGTTTCGGAACTGCACGCGTCTAAAGTTTTAGTACTTTTAATACGCGTAGATAGGCTTGCGTAACACGGAACGTCGAATTTTAAAAATTACCCCTTCACATAAATTACGATATCTCGAAAACGGAAAGTCCGATCGACAAAATCCAAAAGCCATTTTAAAGAGGAAGCTTTATCGCTTCTAACAGTGGTTCAAAAATGGATAAAGCGCTACTAGTTTCGAAACTGCACGCGTCTAAAGTTTTACTATTTTTAATGCGCTTTACAGTGGAATTTGAAAAATTATGCTTCCATATAAATTACGATATCTCAAAAACGGAAAGTCGTATCGACAAAAACCAAAAGCCATTTCAAAGAGGAAGCCTTACCGCTTCTAGCGATGGTTCAATTATTGATAAAACATTAATAATTTCGAAATTGCACCGGTCTAAAGTTTAACTATTTTTATTACGCTGTTAGACTGTTTTAAGACGCTGAAGATTCACATTTTGTGGAAGGGACGAGTTTCGCGAAGGTCGTCGTACAATATGGTCAGCATTGTTGTCGCGTGGGACGTGGATTAACAAGTTGGCGTGGATTAATCCGTGTTGTTAGCGTCTTTCGCGCTCGAACGAAAGTAATTGTCAGTCGTTAGCATCTACTTCCATTATAACGGAGTCGAGGCAGCCCCCGTCAGTGTCGGTTTACTTGCCTCGACAGCCTGCACAAACAGACAGCGACGATGAAACGTTCGGAGACAATGACGCCGAGACCGCAACCCCTTGTGCTCGAATCACAACGCCGACGAACGCAATTTCCCCCGAGAACGTGTCTGTAGAATAAGACTGACGTGCATCGAGTTTCAGCTGGTCCGGATCCGCAATTGGTTCATCCGCCTTCGAACGGATGATCGATCTCGTCCGGGAGTTGTTATTCCTTCCCGGATGAAACGAAATCAATCTGATCTCTACTATACTTCGTACCTCTCACGCATAACTTCGAATTCTCTGTAATTCCCTGCGACTCGTAGTTTACATACTCATAAATTTTATTGATGAGTAGGGTTGATTTTAAACTCTGTAATTTAGTTACGTATGTATCTCAACCGGAGAAACTTCTTGAAATAGGATTTCTGTCGCTCGTTACTCGCCACCGAAAACGTTTCAGCAGAGAAAGTAATTCTTCGTCTCTGTTAAAACGGTTCGAGTGCTCCAGATACCTGCGTCAGACACCTGTTTCCCGAAACGGAAGGAAATTCGTAACAATGGCTTCGCCCCGAATCGCCGCTAAACAAGTTGCAAAAACTTCGGCGGACGTAAATTGTTTACCCGGGTCCCACTAGTTGAATCGTTGCGGCGTACGAGCCATTAACATCGCAGTTTCGAGCCAACGATTTGCGTTCCTTTTTGTCCGTTTCTCTTTCGACGTTCCTCCGCTGGTAACGGCGATACATTTTCGAACGCGTTACTCTGTGAACGAAGGTCCCGGAACCGAGTGAATTTCGGATTTAAACGGCAAGAACTTCGATTCGAGGGACAGAATTTCGCACGAAAACGATCCATGTGGAGTTTCTTTTCGCAACGAAATATCGGGCGTACAACCGAGCAAGAGTTTCTTTAACGGAGAGAATTAAGCGTTCTATTTAAGGCTCGCGGCATCGAGGAATGTAATTTCACGCGGCTAGAACGAGAAAGGTTTCTCGCGAGTAAGGAGAGAAAGCAACGAGCCAAAATTCGTCCTCCGAAATCGTACACGCGGAACCATCGCCGACGAAGCTAAGATATCTCGCGCGAGAGAAGTTCAGGAACGACGTAACGTATCGCGGATCGTAACAGTTACAAACAACCAGCGAATACGGAACGTGGATTCCAAGTTTGAATTCCAGTAAAAGTAGATTTCAGAATATATTTTTGGCGTCGCGTGAATCCACAGGCTATTTACTGTCATAATTCCCGTAAAGGGCGAGTGTATTTTTATTCCGTACGGCCGCGTGGAAAGTTTAATTCCCAACGGGATCTGTTTACCAGAAACGGAACACGTCCCTCACGGACAGCCAAAATAGAAAATATGCTCTGCCTTTAAGAGGCTTTGAGAACTTACTTTTCGTAATCCGCGTCGCGACGGTTATTTTTTTAACAAAACTTCGGGAATAACCTCGACAGAAAGATCCGGGGTTTTTTGTCGAATCGTCCCTGAAACATTTTGTAACCGAATCCGTTGCAATTTTGCTTTCTGGGCACCCGGGGGCGTATGGAAAATGGAGAGAAAAAAACGGGTGTGCGCGGAGATCAAATTTTTGATCAACAACAGTGCTTCCTGTCTGTTGTATTCAATAACAGCTGGAAATGTAGAAATGCATAACGCGCGCGCAGTAACATTTCGACGGGATTTCGTGAAACGAAACGCCAGGTTGTGGGCCAACAAAATGAACTTTGAAAAACTATAATACTGTAGGAAAAACCAAAATTTCAGATGCTATTCTTTTACGTCGTTTCCAAAAAATTTTTAAAGCACGGTGCAAATTAAAAAATAATTTCACAGGGTTCTATGCAATGCTTTTTACTTTTACACGTTTTGTACATCCGGCAGTACTGTTTGAAGTATACTCATTAACTGGATCGGTTGCATTCCTACAGCATCGCTATCGCGAAGCTATTTTATCACAACCCCCGGCCAGCTTTAATTTCAAGCACGAAACTTTTTCTTCCGAACCAACACGAGCAATTTTGTTCTTTTTTAATATTGTTGTAAACACACCCGGGGAATATTTTCCATGCGAGACCGGCGCGTTTCCCGTTTCTTTATTAAACATGAAAGCTGGTCGAAATAACTTTCGTTTCCAATTTCGCGCGTTTCAAGCTCCCGACGTGCCCGCGTATGATCATAAAAATAATAATAAAACCATCCACCCTCGTATTAAATTTAAATCTCCGAAACGTGAGTTTGTAACTGGTCCGGTTACTTTGTAAAATTGAGTTTCGAACAGCTTTTCACGCGTTTTGGCGTATGGAGCCCAGTCGATGTTTCGACGAAATCGTTGCCACGCGGTGGCAAATTGAAAACGATTTATTTCGCTTTCGCTTCCCGGGACGAATTTACCGCTCGCGTTTCCCCCATAGAAGTCGAACGATTTGTCGAACAGAGGTCGAACCCCTTGTTTTAGCCTTGTTTTCGATGCGGGCAACGCCCCGGGACGACCGTCTCTCCTCATTACTCGAGGATCCTCCTGTTTCTGATTCGAGTAATTACGCGCCGCGCTCTCTGTTACGTTGGAAACGGAATTTTCACGTCTACGTTCGACGTCCACCGTGAAATTTAAGATCGTCCAGCGGTCCTGAAACAACTCAGCCCTTCGAAATCGTTTGCACAAAGGTTCGAAACGGAAACGAAAAAATACAACAGCCACGTAATCCTGCGATTAAGCATTGTTCCGTGTCCCCTGATCTTCCCGGGATTAATATAAGCTAGAAAATGGCGACTTTCGCGCACATTACGGTCAGCATCCGCCGGAAGCTCGACGAATATATCAGATTTCCGCCGAAAATTCGTCCGTCCAGTGTACACATCGCGTGTGTTTCATCCAGGTGGCCCTGGATGCACGTATATCCCGTTATCACGCGCTTTTCAGCTTCAGCCGGGTTTATACGGATACTTTTAGCTGCAGCTTTGTATATCCGCGTGAAAATAACCTTTAGGAAGTAGCTCGTGGCGAGCTCTTATCGGCTACGTCGAGCAACAGAAATGTTTTACGCTCCCATGCAAATCCTTTTCGAAGCAGCGAGTAATTAAATTGCCAGCTTTATGGGCCCTATATAAGGAAGGGAAACTGCCCGCGAATGGGACAAGAAAAGACCATCGTTATATATTTTTTTTTAACGAGAACAACAGAACAGGAATAGCGATAATAACAGTCTTTGGAATTATTTTCGTCTGTCTCTATTTGCCAGATATTTTAACAATAAACGAAGTGGATTGATATACCTGTACCACATAGATATTTATATTCTGCAAAATTTAAAAATAGTCAATTTAGCCCGTCTGTTTGCAAACTGCATACGAATTCCAATTAAATTTAGAGGATACGCAATATTAACGTCTCTTTGCATTACGAAGGGGGGGAAGGGATTGTATAAAATTCCTCTTGCGTTAATTTGTTGTAAAAGTTTTTTATTTACTTATAATTTGGTATATTACATTGTGGAGTTGGGGATCGCGGGATCGGGCGTCGTCGGCCGTCCTCGGGCAAGCTCGGTGCGCGTAACTCGACGACTCGTCGTTGCTTGGACGCAGTTTCGCACGTCAGGTGCGAGCACGTGGAGCTCGGCAGACTTAACCTAAAAAAAGTGTTGCGATCGCAATGTGCGTTGTGCTTCGAACATAATTCAATACTACAGACTACCAATGCCCTATACTGCTTATGGTCGCTACGAGGACCCAATCGTAAGTAAATAAATGGCCGATTGCAATTACTTTTCCATAAACGTCGATTGGACGCGTCGCATATTTACTCGTTCGGTACTTTGAGTGATTGGGTGTTAACGTGATCGAATAAGTGTAAGCGTAGTAAGCGTATAGAAATTTTATTTACTATTTACAACGTCACGTAATTTTGTGAGCGAAATACGTAGACTTTAGTGACATTTTTAACGATCGGAGACAAATTTTGCAATAGGTTATCAGTGACCGCCATGACACATAGGAAACCTTAATGTTTTCGTCCAGTACAGATGACTAAGAATGTTGTTTTCTGTTTCAGGTCTCAAGGTGCAACGCGACGACGACCTTCTTTCTCCCATTTCGGCAAGTGTTATTCAATCTTTGCCAGAGTACGTTAAACGCGCAGATGATTCTCGGGGAGCCATAAAAATGGTAAAACACTTCCGGGGCGAAGCATAAATTCTCGTTTTACGCGTCTCGTCGAGCATCCCGGGCGAACTTATTTCCTCGTTCGTCTTAATCCGATTAAAAATTATTTAGCCCCCCCCCCGAATCAAAGCTACGTAAATTCTCGCGCGAGACTCTCTTACAACTTCGTTGCCCGAGGAAACGCATGCTCGATGCACTCTTTTACGGAAAAATCCTCTTCGCGGAATTTTTTTCCTCGCCGCGCGGCGGATTAAAGAACCGTCGCTCTAATATTTATCCGTACGATTCGCGACTGTTCGCCGGGGATGAAATTCTCGCGCGAGCCGCTATTTTCCCCCGGAGAAAAGTTCTCAACACTTGTTGAGTCCCCTGGCGTACGCTACTCGTCGTTATAATTAGGTGGGGTACGCTCGGCGAGGCCGGTTACCAGAAAAAACCCTGTGCATCTTTAAATTACCACATATTTCGAATTTCTCTGGAATTACGCAACGCTCGTCCGAAACCAGCGCTTTCACAGTCGTCGTCGTTGTAAAATTGCCGGGGAACATTTTTATTCGCCACGAAATCCAACCGAAATACGTCGGGTGATCTCGAGCGATCCTGAAAAGAAATTATTTAATTAAAACGACTCGCAAGAGTTATCAGTTTTTCTTTTCGTCTAATAGCAAAGCGTTTTATGGAACCTTTCGTTTCGATTCGAACTTAACACGTTTACTGCCGTGGGGGTCATCGGTGACCGGCACTCGATATGACTAACAGCGTCATGGGGGTCACCGATGACCGCGACCAATAATAAAAATACACAATTAGAGTAAATATCGATACTGATAAATTGCTCAATAATATCATTGTTACTGTAATGGTTCGAAGAAATTAATGCCATGTTGAACATACAAAAATAATTTTATTAATTCATGAAAAATTACATTGAAACGTTTTACGCAAAGAAAAGTGGATGAACCAGTATAATCGACACAATACGTCACTACTTTTCCTGTACAATTCTTTGCTTTTATTCTCCCTAGCTGCCTCTTTTTTTTTTAATTCGTGACGAGGTTTTTGCTGTACGAAATTGCTTGAAGAAATGCAAACTTCATCTCGGAGGTCACCGGTGACCCCCACCACTAAAAATGCGTCGAACACCTTATCTGCCGTAATATTTCTTGATCGATAATTTTGAAAATTTCCGTCGCCGGGACGTCGTCGCGTTCTCTTTCTCTTTTCTTGCTCTATTTCGTTCGCGGAAGCGCATTTCAACTGCGGATCGACTAGCGGGCGTATTAATATTCATCGTTCGTGATTTATTCCGTACGAGCGGCGAGTGGCCAATCACTGCACGCGAGGGGAGAACGTTCGTGAGTGGTGCGCAAAAGGGGGTTGGGAACGGGTTCGCCAGTTGTTGGCGCCTTCGGCCTAGTTTCCGGTTTTCCGGGGCTGCGACGAGGAAGTGCAGCGCCGAGGTCGTCCGTGCTATCTTCCACGGAGTACCAAACGGAATAACTCGCGATCCCAAAAAGGGAATAACTGAAACTCTTGGCCACTTTGGCGCCGAATCATCCTGGACGATTTCGTCTTCGAAGAGATCATTTTTACCGATTCACAGCGCTGAGTAATTAATTGAAGTTTTTCTCGTGCAAAACGAAAGTCGAAGTATCGGTCGCGACATCGCTGGCAGAGACGGCGTCGTTGAACCGAAACGAACGATAACAATGAAACGGTCGGGAGTCTAATTACGGGCGGAAATAGGACGAAATGAAAAATTCAGCTTCAACCCGTTTGTCAGCCGCGCTTGGAATCACGGGTAGAACGCACAACCATAAGAAAATACAATCAAATTGCTTGGGGAAAAAATGTTATTGGTGTACCAATGAAACGCTCGAAATTTAGTATTTTAACCATTTCTATTGTACGCGCTAAAGTATTATAATTCTTATACATTATTCTAATGTACCGTTTCGTCATAATCTTGTCGTAATCTGTCAAAATATTTAAACGTGGACGGGTGATACGATTCTACTTTTTGTTCCCGTGAAGAATGGTTTGAAAATATCCGCGTTCGCTCGAACCACCACGCTTTTCGCGAGATATGCAGACGTTGCACGGTTGCGAGAAGATAACGAGCCGCGAGCACGATGAGACGACGAAGAAAGAAGCTGCACGGAGAATAATTTAGTAATTGCACCGGGAAACATGCGCGTAAAGGGTTTCATCGCGTGGTTAATGCTATACCGAGCAATACTCTGCTCTACGATCCCTCCGATGTTCCTCTTTAATGCTCTTACAAACGAGCAGGAACGAATAATGTCGATACGAGCGGGTCGTTAGTAATCGTAAAGAAATTACCGCGTGGAAGACGCCTCGACGAAGAAATATTTACGGGCGGGAGGGGGGGTGGGGGAGTACAATGAGGCCCCCATTATTCAAATCTTAGTTATCTGAACGCTCCAACGGCTCGTGCACTCTGTTGTCAGAAATGAATGTCGACCCCGACGATTCGAAACGAATCGTTTCAACGTACCCGACCTGCTTTCGTAAAATTATAATGCAAAGTACGGTGGATACTCCCTGAGGAGGATTATCTCATAATTTGTCATTTTCACGCGGGGACAGTGAAACGAAATTTTGACTCTCTTCCATCGAATCTCGATTTTAATTTGATTCGAAGGACAAGGACAGTGTTTTGCATAATGGGCAAAAATAAAAAAACTAATATTTATAATTGAAGGCTTATTGTAGCTTAAATTATTCACGAAGATACATATATTGTGATATTATCTTCGTTTTTTTAGCGAATTTACTATTTTGCAATGGAAAATGGTGCATCAATATTGATGGCAATTTTTGATATATTTTCAGGAAAACCAATTCACCAATTTTCATCCGAGTGACGATTTTTATAAGATATCCTATGATAATAATTTCTCTCAATTTTTTGTATTCAATTCTTTTCAACTTTGACTTGAGTTTTAAAAAAAGTATCGAGAAGTAACTACGGTGAATTGAAAACATTAGACTGTGATCGCCTATTCTTATTTTTAATACGTTTTATTTGTTATACATTTATTTTCACATGCTTTTCAAGTTACAAATGAAAGGAAAATTGAGAATGAATACAAAGTTATATACTCGAAACGATTATTACGATTTTTCAGGCATTTCTATTGATCCGAGAAAAAAATTTCCCAAACAAAAGTTAGTCGATAATCACTCCTAAAGAAATTGCAATAGTTATTAGAAACTGTATACATTTTTATGCAACGTTTCGTTCACTTAAAAAACTATCAGAGGTCTCGAAAATGAATTGCTTCGGAAGTTTTATGATATAGGAAACACTGTGCGTTGGTGGTTTATTTAGGGAGAGAATGGTCGGGGCCATTAGGGTTGAATTTAGACGTATAAGCTTAGAAAATTCCCCTGGAGCCGGAAAGAAGCGTTCCAGCGTGTTCCGTGGCAATTTGCCCGTTTGGAGGAATTTGCAATTTTCATTGCGCGAAATTCCCCGGTTCGCGGGGGCGACTTCAGAACCACTTTGGCGTCGTTCGCGGTTCGGGTCGTTTAGGTAGCAGCAGCAATCAAGGTAACACACGTTCAACGGGTAACGGAATTGCCATCCAGCCATTTTTTAACTGGCTTCGGGTCGGGATAAGGAGCGAAACTTTATCACTGCCTCGGTGGTGCGGTTACACCTGGCAAAGGGAGTTTTACGCTGCCAATGGGGGAGCGTTATTACTCGAGCAAAGGTGCACAAAGATGCCTAATACGCCCTTTCCTTCGAACCTTCGTAATCGATAAAAATTGAAGAGGAAATACTCGCGGGAATTTAACGTGAAACTGTAACCTAGAGATTAAAGAAAAGAAGAAATCGAATAGTTTTATCCCCGTTGCTCGAGACCTTTCAGCGCTAATAATAAATTTGAATTTCAAGAACTCGCGTTCCGACTAGAGTTTTCATTAATTTTCTTTTTTATTTTGGTTGATTGTTTCTCTGCAAATTTCTGACAAAATTTAAGTGTCGACGCGACGCGCGACGTCGATACCGGCGTCGGGGCGGTTGTCGTCATTCTTTTCTATCGGCGTTTACGCTCCGACGCGCGACTCCACTCGATCCTCGCCGACGATAAACGAAATTGACTTCGATTTGCAAACGAAAGATTAAAACGGCGTACCATCGTCGATATAACCGACGACTGATTTTATCGACGCGATTTATTTAAAGTTCACGCGGCCCGGTTGCGTTTTGACGGGCATCGGACGCGATATCGACGATAATGATAACGCGTTCCGCGTTCCGCGCGCGAGCGCACTCGTTCGAGCATTGTCTGACACGATTCCGTCGTAACGGGGCCGGTAATTCGAAATTTTCTACGCCAATTACTATATTTATTGTCGCGCCGATAATCGTCGAAATCGATTTAACGCGACGTCGTACGAAAATTTGCTAAATTTATTTGCCGATTCACCGGTGTTACGCGTTTTGCAAATTCAAGCAAAACGGAACCCAAATCTCCATACGTTTTACGCGAACTTCGAACTTCGAACTTCGAACTTACCCCGTGGAGTTTCGAACTTTTCGTCGACCTGTCGCGGATCTCGACGATAACGCCTCTAAGTGAACAGAGATGAATACGTCGTGTAATAGTTTTTGATACAATTTAATTCACGGTTCACTCTATCTCGTCTTTCAAACAAATTTACCATTTTACCGGGGAATATATTACATATTTTCATTAAAACTTTCCTATACGACAGGTGATGCATTAAACCAAAAATAGGCTTTTAAATAATATATGTTGCAATGTGTAGAATAAATGCAAAAATGCACCACTGTCATAAACAATACCGTTATTGGAGAAATTTCTAGAAAAACACACACCTGTAGGTAATGTGTTGATCGAGCATTCGAATATTTACACACAAATATTATAACCGAATTTGT